TTTTGGGGGATTTTTTGGGTTTTTTTTGTTTTGTTTTTTTTTTTTTTTAAGAGAGCAATGTCTTACATAAGACATTATAAGCGAGGATCTTTTCAATGGCCAGAAGGATCTTCTGAACAATGAAGGCTTGGGGAGGGTTTTCTTTTCGGTTTGCTTGTTCTTTACAATAGTTTATGTGGGAACAACCTTAATCTCCATAGTGTTCACAGGAAAAGATTTGCAAAGCCCCAAAGTTGCAACTACAAGCAGTTCTGTCACTCAGTGTAGTAGTTTTACATTCATTCTCTTTGTTTTTACTCTAGAATAAACTGCAACATTAAATCTTGATGGAAAAGCAACAGCCACACATACCTACAGAGTTGATTTCACCACAAAAGAACACACACACAACACCTGCAGCAAGCTGGATGGCGGAGCAGTTTCTAAAGCTACAGCTTGCAGGAAAACTGTAACCATAGCCTTCAGTTCAAGAGCCCCATCTAATTCTCTCTTGCTTTACCAGGTTAATTAGATAATAGGTGACCTCTGCTGTTTTGTTTGCCTAATAACCTGAATAAAGAATGTCATTGCAACTACATGCTTTGTCATTACTGTAAATACTTTCCTTGCTCCACTTTAACAAAAAAGATTTTAGGGTGTTTTTTTCTAGGTCTCCTCTCAAACTTAATTCAAACAACTGATGCTTGTGTTCTCTTGTTTCGTTACTGTTGCAACCAAGCCTATGTTCAGTTTTCAGGAACTAGGAACAGGGTTGTGAAACTATTTTCAGACAGGCTCCAGAAGACTTCAGCAGACTGCTTTAAGTCTACTGAAGGCATCATCAGAGTGGAACAGTTTGAAACACAAACCACTATTTAGCCCATTTAACCTACCAAAGAATAACACTTTTACACAGCTGTGGCTGCAACATGCAAAACTACCCGAGTGTTTTCATGGCTTGCAGGTATAATGACAAACAAGTCATTCACCTGAAAATTTTTGTCAGCCAGAACAACTGAAAGTAAAGAACATACACAGCTGTGTCCAAAAATAAGTTTGCTTTTGACAAAACTGTAGAAGACAAATCAGAAATGTGAATGTATTAACAACATAACTTACCTACTTTTTTCTCATATAATATCCAAATGCTTTGTACTGCCTAGCATCAATCACAGCATTCCTTGTTTGGTATTCATTTGTGCACTGTTGGAGCACAGACGACAGACTGATTGCTTCACAGAACAGAGATGCTGGCTCTCCTCAGAGACTATGGAGCCATACAGAAATAATGTAAAATAAATTAAAAGTGCCAGAAGAACAAGGTTCTCCAAAACAGTTTAGGAATCCATCTTTGCCAAGGAACTTAACGCTGAAACATTTAGTGAAAAAAATAACCAAACACAATCCATTGCAGCAAGTGAGATTTCTCCATATCCTCAAGTGCCTGGTGCAGTGTAGACAAAGCAGCGTGATATTGGAAGAAAGGATAAGCAGTCTTGGATTTCCATTTTTTTCAACTTAATTTCAAACATAATTTGGTATCTTCTAACTACTCATTTGTAAAGTCATAAATAAGGGAATTCCAACATCTAATCCCCCATTTGTAAAATTAAGTAGAAGCTATCTAAACACACTAAACCAGAACACTGCTTTATATATGTAGATCACCAATATCTTGGAAGGCAATACAAAAGCCACGAAATATTACAATCAAAACACATTTTGGTTCCAAGGCAGCATTCAGTTTCAGGTTTCATCTTATAAAGCAATTCTTACAGTCTGCCAGCATTGCACTTCTGTTTGACCAATAAGCCAAAAAAACACTGAAGGCAAAAACAGCTTTAAAAAGCTTCAAAACACCAAAAAACCCTCCAGAACACCCACATTCTGAGCTTTTTACTGCACCATGCAACAAGGAGACACAAAACAACAATAAACCCCCCTCAAGTCACACAGTGGCGCGCAGACAATTTCTGGAATCTCTTATTCCTAAAATATTGCTCATATGTTTGTTAAAAATTGGTAAGAGAAAGAAAATTGATTCAATAACTACTGTGTTGGGCAAATATGACTGGTAATGAAGAATATCACCACACGATGGCTCCAGATACAGAGGCTTTTAAACGGAGTTGCATTTAGTGTTTTGTAGTGAGAGTTTTCTATGAACAAGTCAGCTAGCGCTGCAGCAGCAGGAGTGAAGAAATACAGCAAACAGAGCTCACCGACTTGTAATCTAGGCAATACAGAGGTTACTTGCTTTTCACTACTTTCTCTGAGTCACCTACCATGTAAGAATGCAGGTCACTGCCGTCCCTACTGTGGTTTGGAAAAACCTCTTTAGAGGGTGCCCAAGAGGATATTCAAGAGTACTGAATGGGATAGAGCAAGGAAAATGATGGAAACCCACTTCTTAGACTCACAACAAGAAGCAGAATGAAGCAGCTCTCCCATTTACTCATTCAAAACCTTCATCAGGATAGAAAGGCTGCAAGCAAATTAAAAGTAACTTAAATACAAAGGATTAGTTCTTAAAAGGCCCTAAAAATTACCATGCATAAGTGCAAAGTTACCATGCACTTAGTTTTAAGTATATCCCGTAACTTTGTAAAACAGATTAATCAGTGATAAATAGTAAGCTGTCTGTTGGAATCTCAGCTTTATAAAGCCAAGTTGCAAACAAAAAGAACCCCTCTCTCCCAGGTTATTTGTTTGTAAATTATTCACTAGGAGTTTTCTTGTACCTTCTTTCAGGACTTCTGATACCAAACAGAAATAGAGTTTTGAGACACACAGTTCATTCTTATTCTCCACAGATGGCCTCTCTCACCTCTGCTCCCACACCTACGGCAGAGGAAAGACATCACACAGGTGTCCAGAATAAGAGCTCTCGGGGCAGAAATGAAAGGCATGTTTCCTTCCAGCTGTTTATAGCACTGTAACATTTCACAAACACCCATGATCATGCTCTGGTCAATCCACCATACCATGATAAACCACCATCTCCCTAAGCTCCTGTATGGTGAAGCTGGGACTGTTAACTACTAAGGCAGACTGGCATTTCTGCAGCACAGCCAACATATTATTTATATAGTTTCATTGCATTGGTCCTCCTTTCCCTTCAGAAGAACTTTCAGGGAAAATAATGGCTACAGTGGGGGATGTATCCTGCCACGAGGTTTCCTTACACCGTGTTAGGCTGTAGGAACAAGCTAGATGTTTTGTTAGAACAACTCACAAAGGGAGACCTGTGAAACTAGCAGGTAGAAGACTGGATGCTGAAGCAGCAAAACCCAAAATCCAGTTCCACCTATCTTAACTAAACCCCATGAACTACCTCAGTGACCAGCAGAAACGAGGGGCAGGTGGAGAGCAGACTGCCCTCTGCGTTCTTAAAAGTTACAGGTAAAGATACACAGCATGTAGATATCGGCGACAACTCCTAAAAGGTTACTCTACAGGCATAGTAAGAACAGAGCAGAGCAAGAGTCATACTGACAATAAGTACACTTTTGCTCCTCAGAGTTAAGCTTACTCAGCTGGAGGAGACATGCAGAGTAGTTTTGCTGGCATGCCAGTATCTTTATACCAGCACTGGAGTATACCAGAGTACCAGAGACAGAAAGAAACAGGTAGAGACTATGGCTAAGGGCAGCATTGCAGCTCCTTTGTACCGTAGGAAGAAATTTAGAGTGGAGTAGCAAGAAGCAAGGGAATGTTCTTTGTCTGAACTATATATAAACTGCATAATAATGCTATCTTGTTGAACAACAACGGATAAAATACTCTGTGGGTATCTCTTTCACTGACTTGATAAAATGTATAGCTCAGGGCCAAAAGGTTCATTCTGACATCTCAAAATTTTCCACTAGGAACCTGCTGCAAATTAATACCAAACAGCAAGTGCTGTCATTACAGCATACAGAAAAACATTAGGAAAACTTCTATACCAGCAACTCTCTCCTGGTGGTCCGGGGGGGGGATTGTTTTTTATTCTACCCTTTGAGTAAGACCAGCAATTACAACACCAGTGAAAAAGCCTCTCTCTACTATAGGGCAAAATAGCATTTAACAACAAACCCCACAAACCTACTTCTCCACCACACCAACACTAAAGGAACTCAGTGAGGCTTTGTTTCAGGTAATGCACAAGAAACAGAGCCAAATTCAAGTTCACCACAAGTACTCAGCAGACAGCTTGCTAGTACCAAAACCTACCTGGGTGCAGGTTCAGTTTAGGAGGATTCTGTAATCTGAAGCCTCAAGCTGGGTTTTGCACACAGCAAGACTTTGCACTTGGGCAAAGGCTGAGAGAAAAGGGAAGCAGATTTGCCTCCTTGTTCTGCTACCACTGGCTGTCCAGTTTGGCCCAAGAGTCACAACATATTAGTGCCAATAAACTCCAATTTCAACTGATTTTTTTTCTGGGAATTTTAAAGCTGTTGCCCAATTCAGTCTAACATGGTATACATAGAGGGGTTCCTTCCAGTAAAAGGAGGAAGGCTTAAGTTGGTTTCTATTCATGGCTACTCGTCATGTCTGCAGGAAACAGCATTCACACAAAAAGGCACAGGTCTCTACACAAGGTACCACTGAATCCACAAAGAATTCAGTTGAACAGGATAGGTGAAAGAAAGATTTAAGTTCCCCAGAAGTCAAGCCTGAAGTCCATCTAACGTGCTGAATTTAATCTCTCTGAAAAGGAAAAAAATGACATGGGCACAAAGGTAACTGTGCTTTAACTGAACTTTTTAATAGGGATGGATACAATTAATATACTGTACACCAGTTAACAATTATTACTGAAATCTTATTACCTTAGTGAATAAATTAATGGTCAGCTGACCAAAGAAAGCAAGAACTGAGTAAAGATATTGCAAATGCCTTGAGGAACCCTTCCGCTGCTACAGTTACTGTTTTCACTGATACACACCCAAAAATGTATTATGACACCTCTTATTTCTCCAAACACCTCCACTGCAGCACCTGCAATATTTCAATGACTAACTCATTAAATGACTTACAGTCCATTATCAGTTGGGCAGCTCTTTGGTAAAGGTGTGGCAACAGATTCTTTGCTTTCTGTCAATGCTCGCGGCTGATGGACAAAAACACTGAACTTGACACCTTGGTTAGCCGCTGCCCTCACAAAACCACTATTTGCAGTCATGGTAATGGCTTTTAAAGTGTCTCCTGTCCCAAAAATGGTTAGAGAACGGCTGTTGATTTTTGAACTAGCCACTAGTCCTAAGGCACGGTCAGATGGCTGATCTGGCACCACATTAATTCTTTTAACAAGCAACGCAGCGCGCTCTTTCTCCCCAGGTCCTCCCAGCGTTTCCAAGATGGACTGAAAATCTCTGATAGCGGATTCACAGGCAAAGAGCTCTTTCCCCTCCATGAAATTCTCCAGCTGAGGCAAGACTCTCTCCCTCCTTTCTTGAGCTGCTTGCTCTGTTAGCACTTTTTCTTTGAAGATGAAGTAGCAGCCACCATAGCTCAGAGCAGAGACATAGGTTATTAAGGTAGTGATGTCCAAGTTAACCCTATTGCACACGTTTACTTTGATCTGGGTAGGAAAAGCAATCCTGGCCACTAAATTCTCCCGGTCTACTCTGGTCACCTGCAGGAGTTCAGGGCCTTCGTCATCTGATTCACTGGCACTAAGATGCTGGTTTTCTGTAGATGGCTCCACCAGTGAGTTCACAGCCACAATGTCTCCTCGCACAGATATTCCCATCTCCTTGAGTCTCTCTGCCATAGGACTGGACACGCTGTTGTAGAATGCAAAGATTATGTGGGGATTGCTGTACTCCACTGGCTGCTGACGGCTTGCTTGCAGGAAGTCCTCTGCCTGCTCAATGATGCTTTTGTCACCATACTGGCCTCTCCCCAGCCAGATGTTATGCAGGGCCTCAGCCTTCCGACCGATGGCCTTCACCCATGTGTGACCTCCGTTTGCAACTACATCTACCACCAGCGTCTGTTTGTCTCCAAACCTGTCCTCATAAGCAAAGACTCGGAGGACACTGACGACATCCTCCAGGTTCTCTGCTGACTGAATAATGGCTTGGAGATGGGTAAGGTTTGTACTCTGCAGATGGGATTCTTTTATGGCCACCTTCCCTGCCTCCACCTTGTGTAAGAAGTTCAGCTCAGCCTTCAGTTTGCCACATAGTTTTGCCCCACCTTCTATTCTCCTTTTCTGGGACTTGGAAAGGGCTTCTGCTCTCTTGATCAATTCTTTGGCAACAGCAATTCTTTCACAAAGCAGCGACTGCACAGACATGTTGGAAACATTATTCCTACCAAGTGAAAGCAAAAGAGAATATTGTTATTGTATGGTCAAGAATAAAGACAGTCAAAAGAGGTCTTTGCAGCAGTATACCCTGGAGCTTTCCAATAGACTTAGTGCAACAGCAACTGGAATTGTAAAGCGCAAGCATCAAGAACCTGAGCGCAAGTCCCACCAAAGAGTTCAATCCCTTTTCTTCATTTCTGGTGATCCAACCTACAGCCTCAGAAGATCTCCGTTCTCAGCAAGGGAGAACGGCAGCATTCAAGTCTCCACACACACCTTCCAAGTTTGTGGTTCCCCCCCGACACGCGAGTCCTTCACTGAACTAGCCACTTAGAGAGATCTCAGCTCTCACAACTCATTTGCAAAAGTTGTCATCCAGAGCAAAATTAAAGATCTTTTTAATGCCATAACCAGATCTTCCCTCTCTCTCTCTCACCACAGTTACCATTAAAATATAAAAGCTACCCACCACACTTACAGACATACATAAAAACTATGAAATCTGGCTCCCAGCAAGTATTTTAACACAGCATAGAGAAAGCTCATTGTATTTTACAATTAAGAGTAGCACAGCTCTGTTCTCTCCAGCTTCCAACTTACACTGCACAACTCCATGAATGAGGCCCTAACAACCCCCAGCAAAGTTTCAACACTACACAGCATCATGACAGACTACAATTCGTAATTCTAGAGCCAAGATGTGGAAACCTCTATGTCTTCTAGTTCTACTAGAGATTTACAGTGTTGCATCTGGTAAGTGTATTCTTTTGCCTCCATATTACGTTAGTATGTCTTCCTGAGCAAAGTATGACAGGAATTACTTAACTGAACGTGGGCTGGCTTTGATAAATGTAGGATTCAATACCACAGCAAAGAATACCATTTTTTATGACATGCAGTAAATAGCCACTATGAATAGTGAAATTAATTCATTTTGACTCCCAACTACATGTATAAACACATGCTCCTGTAATTCTTACCTAAGCTGCATATTGAAGGAAACTGGTATTAAAGGGCAAGACAAATGCAGCTTCAGCTGAAAAATGAACAACAGCATACTGCCTGGGTCCTAGAACAACTGGCTCTGCCAGTGCAGCTGTGCAGCTTGGCTTCAAACAGTTAAGTCACCCTTGCATTATGCACAAGTTCAAATACAGTCAGCATTAACCGCTACTGGTCCAGTCAATACCCAACACCACCAAAATCTCCCCCCCTTCTTCTCAACCAAAAAGCCTAATGTCTTCCAGCACGACCTACTGACTCTCTTCACGGTCAGAGGCCAGTGAAATCAGTCCTTCCCCCACCAAGTCCTCACCATTGCCACAAGCTTATTCTTGTATGTAAAGCAAGAGTAACACCCCCCAGTTACTCTTTGGCACCTCTCACCACAGCAGCTTCAACTTCTACAAACATAAAAAGGCTTCAAGACAAAGCTTACTTCAAGTTTTTCAGTGAAAGTAAGCCTGTAAACTCAACCACTTTTTCAGCACAACAACCGCGACGCGGCCTCACTATCAACCACAAGGCCTCCAGAAGAAAAAGTTCTCCTTAAAATGAGGTAGGAAGGAAAAGTAAAACCCTTCACACGTTTAACGTTTGCTGTCAAAATGAGGGCCGGCAGGCCGCCCGCTGAGGCGGAGGCCTCAGCCCTCCGCGCGCGCGCAGAGAGGTCCCGCGGCGACAGCCATCCCCACGCCCGCGAGACACGCCCGCCATTTGAGGGCGCCCCCCGGGCCGCGCGGGGCCCGCCCCGCAGCCCGCCTCCTCGGCCTCCCACCCTCAGCAGCCGCGCACCGGCGTCGCTTTACCCCTTTCCCTTCCTTCCTTCCCTTCCCTTCCCTTCCCTTCCCTTCCCTTCCCTCCCCTCAGGGCCCGCGTCCGCCCTCGGCGGGGAGCGGCGGAAACGGCCGCTTCTGCCGCCCCCGGCCCGGCCCGGCCCGGCTCTCACGTGAGAGCGGCGCCGGGAAGGTCGCGGCGCCATCTTGGGTGAGGGCAGGGTGCCCCCGGCGGTTGTCCGCAGCCCCTCTCGGCGGCGGACCCCGGGGCCGGCCCCGGCCGCACCCTCCTTGACTCGCCGTCACCCGGCACACCTTCCCCGGCAGGGCGGGCGGCGGGACCCGGGCGGCCGCGGAACGCGGGCTCCTGCCCACCTTTGCCCCCCGGTCACTATCGGGACGCGACGAGCCCGAGCCCGAGTCCGAGCCCGGGCTCGCCTCGCCTCTCCGGGCGCTCCCAGGCGCCGCTCCCTCCCCCGCCACCGCCTTCCCCCGCA